CCTCTTTTCCTCGCTTTCCTTCGCTTTTAAATAGCTTAAAAGCACCGTGCGCATTTTACGTTCACTTTCGAATTAGCGGCAGTTAGGCGTCAATTGCTTGACTGCAACAAAATACAACGTCAAACTCACTTTAGCATATATATATAAAACATAGAACTTTTAACTCGACTCACTCTCCTTGTCAGTCAGCTCGACTCACTCTCCTTGTCAGTCAGCTCGACTCACTCTTCTTGTCAGTCAGCTCGACTCACTCTTCTTGTCAGTCAGCTCGACTCACTCTCCTCACTGGAGAAATTCAATCTGATCTGTGATGCGACTGTCGTTCGGCACGCTGCATTGGGCAGCCGCGTTCAGTTTTTAATAGTAGTGTCTGTTCTTTTACTGAACGAAATGATTTTTTATTACTATAAAAAATCAAAATGATGGTGGGGGTCAGTGAAGCGGTGGGAAAGTGACGTAACCAGTGTTGCGGCTTAAGTCAGCACCGTCTATCGTGGCAAGTCTAGAGTATAACTGGTGTTTCTGCTTTAATGACATAGGCAAATGTCAGAAGAGCTTTAGCAAATATTCTCCTCCACTGACGAGTTCATAAGACATAAATAAACGTGCACGTTCATAAGAAGTAACACGCATGTAAACAGATCTTATTATGAAAGGGCTCTGGTAAACATACACATAATGGCACTTATGCATTCAGGTATTTTGAATCTGTTTGAGAAGACATTCATATTCAAACATTTACACGTTTTTTTTATTATTATTTCAGGTCTTCACTGCACTTCACTTCCCTGCTCTCTCTTCCTAACTAAATAATTGAAGTTTAGTGAACAAATCTCATAGCAAAGAAAAATACTGTATGGCCAGTAGTGCTGTGTTCAATACATCGATACAACGATGTATCGTCACAGAGATTTGACGATACGAGTATCGATACAGCTGGCCCTGTATCGATATTGTGGCACGTGTACAGCAGTGGACCGCGCTTAATTTGAATACAAGAACAACGTTTAAAATTGAGCAGAAAAGTGCGAGGTTTCTAAAAAATAATGAATAGAGAATAATATATAGGCTATAACGAGGTTTAATCTGGCCGCAGAGGAACACAACTGGGTTGCCTGATATAAAGAGACGTAATCCCCAAAACAGAGCTTTACACTTGCGCAATACAGAAACAACTGCTAAGCGTGCAACTTAACTTTGTCAACCTGGCAACCATGTGCACGCGCTCTCTCTCTGTGGATGAATGCACTTGCTTTCTGAAAGCACCGGTTTTCATTTTAGCGATCTCCACTTCAATATTCTATTCTCAGAAAAGTGTAATTCATCAAGTGTTCATTTATGAGAGAGAGAGGCTGTGTATGTATGAATTACCAATGTCTTGCCGCATTTCTCTATTAACAGTGAAGCTGTGGCTTTAATTCCTGTAGAAACAATGATGTTACCAGCTCCTTGTTGAGAAAGATAATAATAATAAAAGAATAATTTTATCAACTAAATATCAAGCTATTTAGTTGATAAAATTGCGGGGCAGCGCTAAAAAGTTTGTTCCTGAATGTTGGAGTGACTGAGCGTGTGTGCGTGAGATACAGTGAAGACAGCGCATTAGTTTAGAACTCTTCTAATTTTTATTTGTATTTTTTAAACGTAGAGTGTGTGTTAATTTGTGCAATGATAACCTACGAGCAATGTAAATATGATTTTTTTTAAATATATTAGAATGAGTAGTCTACATTACAATATAAATTTATTAGAGCGAGTTCATTATTATTTATGGGCTTAAAAACAAGATGCAAAAAATCAGAATATTGTACCTGGTGGGGAGTGCCCAATGTAAACATGAAACATTACCACAGTACATAGATGGTACAGTAATGGAGGCCCTTCATAATGCAGAGGCCAGCAGCCTGCTCTGCCAATAGTTAGAAATGACCCTATAGTATGCAGTGTTTAATAAACAGCTGTTTTACTAAATTCTTCTGAGGTGAAGTGCAGTCCCGTATTGTGATACGTATCGTATCATGGCCTCTGTATCATGATACGTATCGTATCGTGACTTTGCTGGTGATACACAGCCCTAATGGCCAGAGTATAATCAGTCCCTGAATGTGATGTAATAAGAAATATAAACCATTTAAATTTACTTCCGATGCCTTTCAAAAATGATTTTTTGAAGTTGTAAATCCAACAAAAATAAAATTTTTTACAAGATAATACTTTTTCGGTCTTCCCATTTCAAAATGCAATTCATTATTATTTATGGGCTTAAAAACAAGATGCAAAAAATCAGAATATTGTACCTGGTGGGGAGTGCCCAATGTAAACATGAAACATTACCACAGTACATAGATGGTACAGTAATGGAGGCCCTTCATAATGCAGAGGCCAGCAGCCTGCTCTGCCAATAGTTAGAAATGACCCTATAGTATGCAGTGTTTAATAAACAGCTGTTTTACTAAATTCTTCTGAGGTGAAGTGCAGTCCCGTATTGTGATACGTATCGTATCATGGCCTCTGTATCATGATACGTATCGTATCGTGACTTTGCTGGTGATACACAGCCCTAATGGCCAGAGTATAATCAGTCCCTGAATGTGATGTAATAAGAAATATAAACCATTTAAATTTACTTCCGATGCCTTTCAAAAATGATTTTTTGAAGTTGTAAATCCAACAAAAATAAAATTTTTTACAAGATAATACTTTTTCGGTCTTCCCATTTCAAAATGCAACATTTAATTCAATGTGTTACTTGCCATTTCTTTGTTATTTGTGTAAATTATATATTTTTACTAGCAATTTCTTAGTGGCAAAAAGTTCATATGCCAAGTTTAACGTAGCATCATACCTGTCCTGCACTGGGAAACAGTGGCTTGGAGACACTCGGCTGTGATTTTTACAAGATAATACTTTTTCGGTCTTCCCATTTCAAAATGCAACATTTAATTCAATGTGTTACTTGCCATTTCTTTGTTATTTGTGTAAATTATATATTTTTACTAGCAATTTCTTAGTGGCAAAAAGTTCATATGCCAAGTTGTTTAACGTAGCATCATACCTGTCCTGCACTGGGAAACAGTGGCTTGGAGACACTCGGCTGTGGCGTGGGCATTGTTGTGGCAGGCACAGCCGGCCGAATGGTAGGAGGGGCCTGAGCCATGTGGGGTATGCCAGGGTGATGACCCATGGGAGGAGGTATTCCTGAGCAAAACAATGACATAATTATGAACAAATATTAAAGAAAGATAAATAAATAAATATTGGTCTCATATATGTAATGAGATGGAAGGTTCCTTTACCTGGTGGCATGCCTGGCATCATTGGGGGCATTCCATGTGTAGGTGGCATCATCCTACTCATTGGCATCATGCTATTAGTTAAAAACAACAGGAAGGACATTTTTAATGCAATAAGCATGGATTAATCACACAACATTAACAAATAAAACTATTACAATTCTATTAACTTCTACCCTGGAGGCATCCCGTGCATGACAGGAGGCATCCCTGGCATCATCGGGGGGACACCAGGCATCATTGGGGGCATTCCTTTGAGAGAAACCATTTAAGCGACACATAATAAATATACTATGCATAACATCTTAAACGGGGTGTTTTGTACTATTACAAAGCACACCTGAGTAGCTTCCAGGTGGCATCCCTGGCGCTGGGACAGGGGCCATTCCTGGCTGGGTCATAGGGGCATAGGCTGCCTGAGGCTGTATGGTTGTTGCTGGTTGCTGAAAGGAGGGACCAGCCTCTTCATCTGAGTCATCTTCATCAGAGTCATCTTGCTGTTTTTTCTTCTGATTTTCTGTTTCCAAAAAAAGGAGAATATAGTTACTATGGGTTTACTTGGGCTACAAAAAGAACAGGGCGGCTTTTCCCAAAAGCATCGTAAGCCTAAGTTGATCGTAGTTCCACTGGTTTCAATGGGTCTACGAAATACTTAAGCTTACGATGCTTTTGGGAAACGCAGCCCAGATGAGTAAATAGGAATTTAAATGTTCTACCCTGTGTTTTTTGTTCAAGCACACGTCTCCTCTCCTCCACGTCTTTCTCTGGAATACCCTCCATTCCATAAATCTCCAGCTCTATGTCAATCCTTCCCGGTATTGCATTAGGGACACCATCAATGGTTTCTTTGTGAACCTTAAATCAAACAAAAACAGATTTGAACATACAGCAAATAAAACACATACATATATATTTATTTATTTATACAATAGTTCGTTCTGGTTCTCAAATCTGATTGGCTGAGAACCGTGAGATATTGTACTGGTATCGCTACAGGAACACCCCTTTCACAATTTTGTATCGCTCCGCTTGTTCTAGCCGGGTCTAGGTTTTTTTTTTAATTATTCACTGAGCTAATCGTAGAGTACGTTAGTTAAAGGGGTCATAATGACGCGATTTCAATTTTTCCTCTCGTTGGAGTGTTACAAGCTCTTGGTGCATAAAGAAGATCTGTAAAGTTGCAAAGACTAAAGTCTCAAATCCAAAGAGATATTCTTTATAAAAGTTAAGAGTCAGCCACACCTACCTAAAATGGCTCGTTCTAACACGCCCCCACATGTCTACATCACGATGTGGGAAGATTTGCATAACACCACCCAAATGTTCAAGTAAAGAAAGAAGTAACTTTTATTCTCGCTGTAGTATTGTTGCTGCCGCCATGTCGTGAAGATGCTGTGTGTTTCGTTGTGAAAGCGAAACTACTTTGTTTGGTCTTCCAAAAGAGGACACGACTAGAAATCATTGGTTAAGTTGTATTTACAACACTGTTCCAGAACACTTCAACCAACCAAATATTCAGATGTGTGCAGCACATTTTATGGAGGACTGTTTCCTGATCCTGGTAGAGTAGACTACAATTCGTCTGTGGCACAAAGGCTGTTTCTATAAAGTGGGGCAGTTCCAACTTTGCAAGGACAGTCTGGCGCTTCTGACTCACAGACTGGAAGTAAATTTTTTTATATTGAAAGAATTTGCCACTGATGATTCAAATGTGAGTTTTGAGCAGTGTAGAGTAGCGCTTGTTGTTTGTCGTTTCTCCGATCACAAATGCAGACATGGTTTTATGTTTACGCGGCACGATGCAACGCAACGTGTAAAAAGACAGTATAAGTCATTATAATCAGTAATTATGTCCCCACTGGATGTAACAAATGCCTCGTTTATAATGGCTTTAATGTTTTTGTCTCGTCGCTCCGGCCGGACACGGCATCAACAGTATGGTAAGGGGCGTAATATTTCCGTCACATGCTTGAGGTATTCGGCCAATCACAACGCACTGGATAGCTGGCCAATCACAGCACACCTCGCTTTTTCAGACCGATGAGCTTTGTAAAAATCAACACGTTTCAGAAAGGCGGGGCATAGAGGAGAAAATAATGTACAGTATGTGGAAAATAATGTTTTATTTTTTTTTTACTTTAAACCGCATAAACATTTCATTACACAAAAGAATGTTCTTTTTAGCAGCCTCATATGACCCCTTTAATATAAGAAGAAACGTCTAGCTTCGCGGTCTCTCATTTGGATGCACGTCTTGCCGCACTGTTTCTCTCTAATAACCTCGTTATTTCTCTCTAATAATTGAAGCACATGCCCTTGATATGAATTCTAAAAGTGTTGTATTTTTAACTGTCAACTTGAGCTTTGAATCCGTGGTGGAAGGAAGTAGTTCCGCACAAACGAGGGTTTTATTAGGCACTCCGTTGCTTCATGTTTAATTACACACATGTTCCGTCGAGCTGTTGTATAAACGCAATATCACTCTCGTACTCGAGCGATACCGGCTCTATATCAGCGGCTGTGATTGCCTCTGGCCTCGTGCCTCTGGCCTAATCACAGCCGCTGATACAGAGCCGGTATCGCTCGAGTACGAGAGTGATATTGCTCATTCATACATATACATATATACACATATATACACATATACCTACATACACACAGTATATAAAATAACTACATACCTGCATACAGTGGATGGCCAGACCAGGACCAGTATATAGCTTCTTGTGACATATATGACACTTAAAGTGCTTGGCCTTCTGATGCTGAATGAGAATCTTTTCATCATCAAAATCCCTGTTGCAGTACCTGAGTTTGCAGTTAAAGTCATATGAACAAGAACAAAATCATAACAAAACACCAAGAACAGCAGAAGGGACAGAAATCCCCAACACTGTCAGCATAGGGATGCTTAAAACTTTAGCTGTTACACATTTCTTTCACTATTATACCCTTGTAAAGCGGTTCTCAAACTTTGCCTTACCCCAGCAAAAAAATAAAAATATTCAAAAGCCCCATGACATTTCCAGTTTTTAACGATTTGCTGAACAAAGATTAAGAATAAGGATTTTTTTTCACAATCACAACTTCTACCTGAGAAATGTTTTAGAGCAATTTGTATATTCAATAAAATTCTCAAAAAGTGTATTCATTACACTTTCACAAAATTACAAAAAGTGATTAGTTTACGTCAATTTCTTTTAAAATCATGATGCATTAAACAAGGACATTGGGAATCGTGGTCCTGCAAAGAAAAGAAAAACAGTTGTTAAGGAGGCGAGTTATTGAGTGGGAAATGTCTTTATTTTTATTTTTAACTACTGGATATTTGCTTGTTAAATGCTACCAATACAACGGTATATTTTGTTAGTGGAAGCGTGAAACTAATCCACATATTTAGAGACACAATAAAATAAGTGTCACTTAAATCTGATTGATAAAGTAGCAGGTGTTCTCTTCGCGAACGCTCAAACAGAACGCACTACTGGATATTTGCTTGTTAAATGCTACCAATACAACGGTATATTTTGTTAGTGGAAGCGTGAAACTAATCAAATAAGTGTCACTTAAATCTGATTGATAAAGTAGCAGGTGTTCTCTTCGCGAACGCTCAAACAGAACGCGTCTATGATGTGCGCTGCAGAGAGGCCTTGATATCAGACAAACAATACATCAGCCACTCGTAAACAGGAAGTGGGCCAATCCGTACTAATAAACAATTCGAAAAATATTAAACAACGGTACGATCGCTTTTAAAGAAGGATACCAACACCAGGGCTTCATCTGCTTCTTCTTTTTTCTCCCCATGATTTATTTTCCAGCCTATTCCGCGAACACCACACTGACTGACGCCTACCTAAACATTAGCCAAACTAAAATGGAGTAACGCTAAATAGGACATGACGACGGCTTTTTCCACGCACTGCATCACAAGGAATACCGCCACCAACTGGACAGGAGGTGCACAACTGGGAATCTGGTTGGTGTTTGAGTGATAGCAATAGCCAAAATAAAGAGGAGCAGAACACGCAGCGCCAGTGGGGTTTTTTTGGGGGGGTTCTGATCCAAGCTACCTGATGATGGCAGTAATGCACTGTTAAGTGCGGTTGCCAGTAAACAAAAGAAGAAGAAGAAGAAAATAAAATAAAAAACTATTTTAAAAAAGTGATTTACTTAATTCAGTCATTCATTCATTTATAAACCCGCATAACTGCACATTAATCCTTATTTCACTTTCCTTCGACATCACTTAGTCACCCTTTATCAAAATGGGAAGGATATAAAACTTAAATATATAGTTCTGAGTTGACCTCACCATTGTTTTATGGCATTATTTAATCAGTGCTATGTTTTAATGGCCTTTTGACTGTGATGACATCATCTGAAAACAAATATTGTTTTAGATAAAGTCAAATATGAGTAAAATGTTATTATTTTATTTAGTTTGACCTACATTTTAACTTTAAAGCTCAGCATGTTTAATGTTTTATTAAAAACAAGCCTGATTTGAGAAAAACAGAAAGATAAATGGAAGATTTTTTTTTTTTGGCAACCCAAGATTCACAGAATTAATTTTTTTTTATCATTAATAACCTTACATTTATTTATTCTCTGTTATACTTAAAGCAAGCAGGGAATCCTTTCCCGACCGGCTCAATAAAAACAGCATGCACATCTTATAATGTGAATACAGCATGTCAAGGCACACTATACTCTCAATGCAATGCATTCAAGCAGAAAAAAAAGAAGTAAATTCAGTTCCAAAATACAATCTTCAGAGGTAATTATTTTTCTAAGATAAGCTATAAATACATATCTCAAATAACTACATTCACACAGTATTTATTTCATATTCAGAATTAAAGGCAGGCATTTTTATATTCAGACTCAACGAAATCTGCATTAGATGCAACTACCCAGTTCAATTATTTGAAAAAAAAAAGAAAAAAAAAGATTGTATAATGTGTTTCTGATGAACAGAGTCGGGTAACAGCAGTCATGATTTATGTTAAACACACATTTCTTGTCAGCTTTAAATATAACCGTGCTTTGCATATTTCTTATATGGATTAGAGCTATCGAAACACATAAAACATGCAAATTGCGAAACCACTTAAATCACTGACAGCATCACTACCTGTGGCTCAAAAGCCCTTTTGTGTATAGATTCATAAATTACTTTCAGACACATTTTTTAGCATTCACCACAGCACATTCCTTAATAAACACAAATAATAAACTCCCCTTTTGATCTAATACCCTTGTTGCTGCTCCATTTGCAAGTTGTTCAAGGCAGTTATTTATACCATTTACTTCATTTTAACACTAAATCCACTTTAACAATGAAGACTGAAATATCTGAAAAGGCTAAAACTGTAAAAAGGTAGCAAAGCAGCAGAGATGTCATAAAAGAACATCACAGGTCAGTTTAAGATATAAATTCAACAATCATTTAAAGAGTGCAAATCCTTTGATCATTAAAGTGTAGCAAATAGCATGCTTACCTCTCACTGACCTTTACAAAAATATATGAGCTGTACAAACATGCATGCTTATAAATCATTCGGAAATGTTATGAAACCCATGCGTACATTAAAACTCCTTCTTCAACATGTTGGTCAATTTTAGGAGGGAAACTTTGGTTGTCATTTAAAAAAAAATAACTTTGTAAGTCCTCCTACAAATACTGCAATAGGCCCAACATGTCACCATCACTCCCTGTCTTTAGGTATCTTTCTTTACACAATTACCCCACATTTATCACCACGGAAATAACATTACATTCCTTGTAGAATGAAGTACTATTCAATGGTGTTCAGCTTTGCAGATAAGAAGTTGTTTATGTGAAACTGCAGGTAAATAGATGTAATTCAGTAAACCTGAGATCTCCAAGCTGCCAGTCACAGAGAAACACTCTGAACACAACCTCAGCCCAACATTATCCTTCCATCCTATTAAAGTATAAATTGCCATGGGAATGTGATTTGCGTACAATGTAGAGGTTTTTAGGTCATTCATTGGCTATGTCTTCTTTATTCTGTTGTCTAGGGGGTCCTCTGTGCCTCCCTAAGGCTCTTTTTACGAGGTTCAGAAGTTTCATCGTCCTCTTTTTCATACAGGTTCTCTCTTTCTTTTTCACTCTGATTCTGTCTTAGTTTAAGATCCCACTCCCAGTGCTTTCTTCATATGCTCATAAACCACATAAGAGATGCTAACAGCAGGAATGACTTTGAGGAAATTGGGGGCAATGCCACGGTAAAGTCCAGGAACGCCTTCATGGGACACAATGTGCTTGAACTGGCCAACCATTGACAGCTGAGGAGCGCCATCTGCTGAGGCTTTTAGGAAGAAAGGAAGGAGGAGTGAGGTTAGAATTTCATTTTGTGTGTGTGTGTGTGTGTGTGTGTGTGTGT